GACCGGAGAAGGAGTCTCTTATATTCGGGTTTCTCTTATATCCGGGTTTGGTCAATTTTGTTTAGGTAAGTATGGGAACACTTTGGGACCAGAGAAAATCTCTCTTATATCCGGGTTTCTGTTATATCCGGGTTTCTCTTATATCCGGGTCTCTTATATCCGGGTTACACTGTATATCTCTTATTACTATAAATGTTTGTTTAGTTGGTACACGTGTTTGAGTAGACATTACTGAAAGACGGAAATTGATATCAACCGGCAAAGATCACCTTACCGAAGTAAATGTACCTCTCATGTAAATTTCCCCGCACCAGTTGTGTGTTAAATAGCAGGGTAGACTGGGCTTTCTAGCTTTGGGAGCCACCAGTCCAAGAGAATGAAAGTTCTGAATTCCAAATTGTGGCGAAGTCAAAGAGGAAACAACTCGCCATCTTTTCCGAGGATACATGCCAGTTCATAGATGATAAAGAAACGGAATAAGTAGTGATGGCATACGTGACAGTAAAAACTTTCTGAGGTAAACAGATATGCATTTCGATGGTTTTATTCGAGCTTCATCGATTTTCAACTACTCTTGTCTTTCTCAGTTATCTTCTTTTCCGTTTCTGAATATCTCTTCTAACATCTGATCTCAGCTTTCGATTTGCTTGGCGGGAACGATGAAAAATGTCCCCTTGTCCATTAGCTCTTTGATTGCAATGGATTATCTATAATGGAATATTTCAATGCCGAAGCTTATCAAGGATTGCCAACTGATGCAGATAGTCGGTTGGGAGTGTGGGGAGCTGAGGGAGGGTCGTATCTTAACTCCTTTTAGGGAGTTTGTCAGTCTGTTTACATTTATTTTACATTTGTAATTCGTCATTCTTTTTAATGCATCTCCTTTTCTCTGTCCGTCTGTATATTCACATGAGATAGATAGGTATTGCGAATAAAATCACTATATATATATATATATATATATATATATATATATATATTATATATAACCATTAATTTTATTCTATATATATATATATTTATATATATATATATATATATATATATATATATATATTTATATTTATATGACGTTTGAATATAGACTAGTTTTTCTACTTGTATGCATGTTTTACATATAAGCTGAAATAACTGACATCTTGTCAACATATTGTTAATCAATGTTAAACATCGTCTTTTATTTTCTGGAAATCGCGCTCATCATGAAGTGTTTGCAAAATATTGAAAGTGTTACATAAAATCAATTTGCTTGTTAATATATTTTTTATTGGCGACAGTTTCAATAGAAATGTTCACCAATTTAAAAAAAAATTATTAGTCTTGTACTGGCGATTGGTTGCCTTAAACGATCATTATCCGGAACCGACATTGAAACATCATAAAAAAAAAAACAGATGAAACATTTTGTGTATTTTGGTATTTGATTTGACGAGCTTGCTGAAAAATCTGATTCAGCCATGTTACACAAATTTGTTAGCTATCGTTAAAATAAAAAATCAATTCCAACACAATATACCATAACCTTGCCTAATAAATATACAGGAACAGCTAAGACGAAGATTATTGGGTGACTGACTCAGTAGGCTAGGCATCATTGACCATTCTTTCGGACTTGACAGATATTCTTTCACCGTCGTCTGTTCTCTTCATTTCTGTAACGGTATTATTCTACAGCAGTAGAGATAGTTTGATGTAAATGTTTGCTATATGCCACATTTTCTTCCCAGTTTTCCGGGGTGATGCTCATTGTCTGTTTGAGTCGAGTCTTCAGACAGCGCTGGAGACAGCCGCAAGGTTTTTTTTATGTCGAGTAAATCTTGCGGTGAACTTTGGGGTCTTTCAGACGACGCACATCGTCCGTTTGTCTGAGACGCTAGTGGATTAGGCTGGCTTTGATGCTGTTGGCTTGTTCTTTTCCAACAACTGCAAGGTTGGTGATATTAATGATTGATCCGAGTTTTTACTTGTGCAAACTCTTATGCCACTTAATATCTCAACTGTAAATATGGATACGGTACTGCCGTAAGATTTTGTGAATCAAAGTTCCTGCTAATAGATGAAAAGTTTGGTCATTTTTTTTTCAAACTACACAAATTTTAGGGTTGAGAATTTATAATAGACACACACACATATATATATATATATATATTCATGAATTATTCATACAAAAAAACAAATACAAAGGTTAACGATTTAATTAGCGAGAAATCCATCGTCGCGAACAATTCAAATAATATACAAAAACCCCGAACCTGTTTATGCACGAAAAGATCCTTGTTTCTATAAATTTCTGTTGCATGAGTTCTTATTATTTTTACAAGCTTTCGTCTGTTCATACAGACATCCTCAGGTATGGAATAGATTTTGTTCTTGTTTTTTTTTCTCTCAGTAATAAGAGGACAACGAAAATATATGTACTGTTGTAATCCGAAAAATGCTATTAGAAATGAGTTATTGTTTTTGGAGCGTGCTGTCGCAACGCTGAGTTTGAATTTAAATTTTACAATTGTGCGTTCTTATACAAATATGGTGATAAGCGAATTCTTTTTTTACTGGTAAATTTTCTGTCAAAGTGGCATGAACTTTATTGTTCAATAATTAATTAATGTCGCACTTATTATCCAAAAAGTTGCATTTGGATCAGTTATTTTAATTTCAATAAAGGTGCAATTAATTTACAAATTCATGAATTATTCATACAAAAACAAATACAAAGGTTAATGATTTAATTGGCGAGAAATCCATCGTCGCGAACAATTCAAATAATATACAAAAACCCTGTTTATGCATGAAAAGATCCTTGTTTCTATAAATTTCTTTGCATATATATATATATATATATATATATATATATATATATATATATATAATAATGAATAAAAGACAAGATAAAAGAACTATTCTTAGCCAACGAGTTTCGTCCATTGAAGGACTCTATCAAGGCAAGGGGCTTTATCAGTGGACAAAAGGTTTCGGCTAAGAATAAAGTTTAAATATAAAGATGCTTTTCTTGCGTTTTATAGTCAAGACACATAAGACAAAATCATCTTTAAATTTAAAATTTCCAGCGTCTCTCGTTTGTGCGCATGTGTAGTTGCGTTCACGTAAACATAACTTACTCCGATGAAGTTATAAAGGGCGAAACGCGTCACATGAAAACATTTTTTCAGTTTGGCATACATATGTCCCCTGAATTGTTCTAAATATACCAAAATTTATATTTCTTTATCCCATATATATATATATATATATATATATATATATATATATATATATATATATACGACGTAGCCAACCTCCTGATCCTCTATACACTTTACACCTATAGTGAACCTTCTCTCTCTGACATTCATTCGATCTCGATCTAGCAATTTTTTGAAGTCAGCAGTCGGACGAACAAATGAGCAAACAAATGATTGAACCTAGAAACAAAATCGGGTGAGATCTAAAAATAGTATCTCACACACGGGCGGAGTCATGTGATCTAATATGAAAAGTTGCGCGGGAAATATCTTCGAAGAATCCATTGAACTGCGGAGATCGAGTGGCCACCAGTTTTTCTTTTTTTATTCTCGACTCTATATGGGATTGCATAATGAAGAGACTGTAGCTTAGTCCTAACTCACACACACAATATCGCATGTGGACCTATATTTGATAGACCAAATAGGCCTAGGCCAGATGCAAAGGTGAATCGACGCGTTCATCACCGAACACAAGAACATGTGTGATTCATCCAATTATAGAATTGGTGAAAGGAATGATCAACGATTTTCCTAAACTGATAGAAGAATGTTATTTTGTTGAAGACGTGAAAAAGGAACAACCATTATTTGGGTGCAAGAATTGCAACGGTAAAGAAAGAGAAAGATAATTTAAAAGATATTCTTGCACGCAAGAACACGAAAACAAAAGACTGATCTGAAAGAAAAGAAAAAAAAAATATGAAAGAGTGAGAGAGCAAGAAAAAAAAAAGAGAAAATGTTTTTTTTTTTCAGACAATGGACAAAAGCTAAGTGTTTCTTTTGATTTTCCTATCGCATAAACCACACACATCTTTACATGCAGACATATTTTCTACGTTGTTCTCATGTATAATTAAATCTTGTTAAATCTTATTCTGATGCTTGCTGTTTGTCACTATTGTTTATTTCTCCTTATTCGTGCTTATTTAATCCTGCGATAGAACGCTCCACTAATGGAATGCAAATCTTGTCATCATGTCACTTTTTTTAACAATTTCTTTATATATTTTGTGTTGTGACAATAGGCTTCGTAACAATATATATATATATATATATATATATATATATATATATATATATATATATATATATATTATCGGTAGGGTTTAACTGAAATTTTTTTTTTTTCATCCAGCTTCATATGTGCTTAAGAAGAATTTCTTAATATGTATGAAAGGTCTTAAAACTTGAATTTCTGGTTCAAAATGTTCTTGAGATCCGGATATATATATATATATATATATATATATATATATATATATATATAGGAGGAGACGCGAGTTCATACCCAGCGATAGAGTCCATTTTTTTATTATGTCTCTTGTATGTGCAAATCGACTGAAGTAATCAGGGCCTCTACTCAAACACGTGTATCCTTTAAAGTAACGTTAATATCACTGGAAAAAATTATGTTCCCGTATAATTTAATCATGGATCAGATTAAAGTTAGATATTAGTGGAATAGCAATTTTTCTCTTAGAGCTTTGTTCCTAAATTAAGGTTTAACATTAGCTTTTAATATCAATTCTAAATAAAGAGAGAAGCCCTCTAACAAACATCAAAAACATTTCCCGGAAGAGTGAGTCCCACTTCTTTGTTTATTCCACGTCTCATTGAAAGAAGACGCAGGCGTGTCTGAAAATTCAACTTCAAAATCTTTTTCTTCGTACTTCGATTTAGTCAAATTATATAATAAATTATTATCAATATTGTTATCATTTTGTTGTTTTTTATTCCTCAAATTCATTGATTGAGTTATTAAATCTATCTATCTATCTATCTATCTATCTATCTATCTATCTATCTATACAAAGTGCGTCAGAAATACGCCCAAATTATATCTTCCAGAAATACCTCCTATATAATGGCTAGATGAAGACACCATTGTCACTAATGTCTTACAAATATGTAGTAAATATTTCTGGGAAATATATATATGGGAGATATTTCTAGGAATTATATGTGGGGGACATTTCTGCAGCACCTTATACACACACACACACACACACACACACACACACACACACACACACACACACACACACATATATATATATATATATATATATATATATATATATATATATATATATATATATATATATATATATATGTCATTCGGAGACAGTACTGTTTTGCTCAGTGCGACTAGAAAACCGAATGCTTCAAACCCGAATTGAAACCCAACCGATTTGGTGTCAGTCAGTGTCTCTATCTTCATCTACAGAATGAGTCAGCTAAGTGTATTGTTTTTAAGCCCACCAACCGAAGTGCTCCATTTACTTATTGGCATCAATATATTAACTAAACTTTCAATCGAAATATTTGTCTTTTTGCCTCTGACGCTTTAATTCGTTAATTGATCCCTTGTTTGAGCACACTAGAATTTAACGTTGTAATTTTCAACAAAAGCCAGTTGCTTCCAACTTTGTCGATTGACGCAACACTGTTTTTCATACAAACGGGAAGGGTTTCTAAATAAATGTATGTAAAACGTATTTGAACGGATCGAAAATCAAATCAGAGAGCCATGGGCATTTGTATTTATAAGTTTATGTGTTCACAAACGGAGCAAGAACACAGAATGAATTAAAATAGTAAGCGCTTAAAACGATCCGCGGATACACAGAATTTGTGTACATCAGATTTAGATTTGAAGACGCATCGACTCTACTGGGAAAAGCTTACTTAGTGGGTAGCTTACACAAGATACAAAAAGCACTGAAAATGACATACATGAATCATTTCTCTAGATATGAGACACGGTGAAGTAATGTTTAGCGGCATGGATTGAGGAATCGGAGAGCCGAGTTCGAATTCCAGTCGAATCCATTACATTCACTTACGTGCTTATACCCTTGGTAAAGGTATGAATTCTCTTCTTCTCTCTCCAGCTATGGGTAAATAGCAGGGCAGACTGAGAAAAGGAATTCAAAACCTGCGGAGGGTCATTTCGGAACCTTGTGGCGCGTAGTGCATCAGGTCTCTGTATTCGGCCCTTCAAAAAGTGTGGATGGTCCTGCACCAAACCTACACCGCTGTAATCAAATCATATGTGCTGGTGTTTGGGCTGTCGGTTCCTAGGAACTGAGTTGCTTGAACCTCATTCGTCGAATTTGAGAGTGGATTATATATATATATATATATATATATATATATATAAGTGATTTCACCCCATTCATTAGAGTAAAAACACTTAGATATAAGGAGTTAAGGAGTTACTGGGTGTGGAAGAATTAGAAAAAGTAACATTATTAAAGAGCGGAAAGAGAAAAGGGTGGTCAGAACAGTAGATAGCGATTGACATTACATTTAATTTTTTGTACATTAAAGTAGGCTGGACAAAAATGGAGCCGGAAGAGAGTTCCACAAACGAGAAGTGCGACAGAAGAAACTGTAAATTGATGAGATGTCGATACCAGACAATTACTGCGCTTAAGTTCATAAAGTTTAGGTACCATAGAGAAGCTCTCATCTGAACAATTACCATGAAAGTATTTATAAAAAAATTCACAGGGAGACAACCTTACGGCGTTGGTAAAGTGACTTGGGCTGAGCCGCCAGATCAGAATCGATAGTACAGGGTGAGATGGATAAATTATTGTCTAAATTACCCAAAAATGAAAATAATACTGACATATTATTTTAACAGATATATTTACCAAAATTACACAAATATATGTTGAAATACTAAAGAGAAAATTTATTCAATCAAATCGCCATAGGCCCCCAGAAGACTTCAGAATCTTCTGCAGCTCTGCTTGACAGTCTCCTTGTTTAAGTTGGTGAATGTTGCCATAATCCTTGCCTTCAATTTATCTTCTGTGTTACAAGGAGTTGGTCTCTCGCTCAATTGAGCCCCACACTTAATAATCAAGAGGTTTGCAGTCTGGGAAATTAGGTGACCAAATATAAGAGGTGATGTGGTTGCAGAAATTGTCTGACAGCCATGAATGGGTTCTTCTGCTTGTGTGCCATGGTGCAGAGTCCTGTTGCCAGATAAAGTATCTTCCAGCAGACAACTTCTTGATCCAGAGTAGCACTATCTCCTCAAGGCACTTGATATAGGCCTCCGTATTGAGATTGAGGCCCTGTGGGAAGAGGAATGGAAGCATAATGTCGCCATAACTAGGGTTCATTCAAAACCCTTTTATAATTATATTTAGACTCATCAAACTCTTTCCGAATTATCTGCATTGTGCTCAGATTGAAACCCAAACACACTGAAATGTTCGTATTGGAGGTAACAGCGCGAATGCCAAGCATTACAGCATGACTTTTCCAAATTTCTGGGTGAGTGAATTGCATCATGGTGCTCTTTTTCTCACAGAGTGTGGCCAACTGAATCTACTATCCTGTGCAGTCAACAAAATCAAGACGAAACAAAGCGCATGAGCGAAATTCAAAATACCAATTTACGACAATTTACCCATCGCACCATGAATTGCTGATTTTTCTTTGGATTTTATCAAGAGGCTCAAGGGAAATAAAAGGAGCACCGGAGCATATTTGGCAGCAATATTCTAAGCATGGCCAAATGTTACATATGGAAAGAAAAATGTCTCGCACGACACAGTGAACCATGTTTCCTAGCAGCTGTCTTAGCAATAGATCCAATATAATCTTTCCATTTCCTGTTGAGAATGCGCAAGAAATAATTTTTCTGTACATATATATATATATATATATATATATATATATATATATATATATATATATATATATTATTATTTACTTGTCAGGAGTCAATATACCACATAACACCCTTGAGCGCTTGAGCGGGTAGAATGGAGATCAAAGTGTTTTAGTGGATTCATCAATTTTCAATCTGCTTGTCTGAAGATCTAAAAGGTCAGTCAATCTAACAGTGATCTCATCTCACAATCCTCACACTTGCTTCATATATGGCCTCCTTTGTAAATCACTAGCAGGTCTAGAGATTATCGCACAAAATTTCATAATTGAATCAATAAGCTCTAAGATACGACGGAAGAGACCATTATTATTATTATTATTATTATTATTTTCTTTGATTTCTGACGTTTACACATTTCTTTCCGGGTCCCGCCCAGGGACCTAAGGTTAGAAATGGCGTCATGACAATTTCCACTGACAAAAAAAAAAAAAAATTACATAGATAAAGCCCTTCGTAAAGTGTGGGCTGTACTTGTCAGACCAATTTTTTTATCTCCTCCAGGAATCCCTTCAATTAGTCTACTGCCATCTTTTCCAACCAGTCCTAGGGCTCCAACTACAACAGGAATTGTTGATGTTCCCATATGCCACATTTTCGATATTTCTATTTCAAGGTCCTTGTTTTTTGACAACTTTTTGAATATCTTCAAAGATACATTGCAGTCAACAGGGACTGCCATATCAATAAGGAGGCGCCGTTTTTGTTTGTGGTCTTTAATAACAATATCTGGGCGGTTGGCCTTGATTGTTCTGTCATTGTGTATTGTGTAGTCCCATAGAATTGTAACAGGTCCTATCTCCGTAACCGGGTCTGGGTGGTGATCATATCAGTTTCTTTCAGTTTCCTTCCCGTAGAAGTTGCAGATTTTCCAGTGCAGATATTGACCCACTCTGTCATGTCGGGTTTTATATTCAGTTGGTGCCAACATCGTGCAACCTGATACAAGATGATCAATCGTTTCTGGATATTTATCACAGAATCTGCATTTTGGTCTGACACAATATTTTAGTATATGTGCTTGATAATTCCTAGTTAGCAAGCATTGGTCCTGCGCAGCAAGGATAAAACCTTCAGTTTCAGCTTTCAGCCCTGCACTACGTAGCCACTGATGGGTACAGGTTTTGTCTACGTCAGCTTGTTTGGTACGGGCAGAGTATTGGCCATGAAGCGGTTTATCTTGCCATCGCTTCTGTATCTGGTCGGTTGCATTCGTCTTTGCTGTCTTTTTAAAGTATTTTGCAGTTTCAGCTGGTGTAATGTGCTGTAGTTGCATCTCTACGCCCATTTGAAACTCCATTTTGAATTTGTTGGCTTCTTTCATTACGGAGTAAAGACGCTTACTACTTTCATGTTCCTTGACGCATACCATCATCCAGTCTTCTGTAGTTTCCAAGTATCTTTGAAGGCCAATTGTTGTAGTTTTGTAGGACAGTTCTAGTTGAACTAATCCTCTGTCTCCTTCGGATCAGGGCACATACAGACGATCAACATCAGCTTTGGGATGATGCATGCGATAGCAAGTGAGAAGCTTTCTCGTTTTGGCGTCCATTCGCTTAATTTCAGATATGGTCCAGTTAAGGACATTAAAGCTGTATTGCACCACAGGGACAGCCAATGTGTTTATGGCTGATATTCTGTTTTTTGAGTTTAGCTCAGTATTTAGTACCAGACGTACACGCATGTAGTACTCTTTTCTTATTTTTTCCTTCATTTGGGGGTGTTGTATGCCATCTCCTTCGCTAATTCCTAGGTACTTATAAGCTTCATCATGCGACAGTTCCCTAATCTTTGTGACAAAATCTAAATCTATTAAGGGTGTTTCTGTAATTCTACCTTTGTTGAATGTTAATTATTATTATTATTATTATTTTATTATATTATTTACATTATTCGGACTATTGTCCTCATCTTTCTTGCCATATTTATTACAACGTTTCGGCCGTTGTACGCTCCGGCCTTCTTCAGGTGGTTTTAATGTCGAACTGAAGCCTTTATTTCGCTCACTGGGGTAGACTGTTCTAGTTCCACCTGCCATGTTTGATGGATGTCACTTATCAGTTATCTCCTGCTGTGTTCTTGAGTACTGGACACACGGAGGACAATAATCCGAATAATGTAAAT